GAAGGAAGGTTGGGCAATCCTACTTCCATAGTGATACTGCCTCGGAAACCCAAGGAGGGGTCGCTAGGAGTCGGGGCCGACTCGACAGTAGTGAGTTTGGTTTTTTTTTTTTTGTTTGAGTCACTGACTATGACAAGCACTCTTTTAGCTAGACTGTAAACTCCCCTAGCACAGTATCTGCGTCAGAATCCTAATCTTCCCACTTAATGATAGAGAGCCAGCGAGCAAGTGAGCACAAGGGAGCAAGAGGGAGCAAGCAGGAGGGAGCACTAGCTTTCTCTGGTGGTGTAATGGTTAAGGCATTTGGCTGCTAACCAAAAGTTGAGAAGTTCAGAAGAAAGATGGGGGCAGTCTGCTTCCATAAAGATTTACAGCCTTGGAAACTCAATGGGACATAGCACTGAGTTTGATTTTAGATTACATATATATACCTAACCCACCATCATCAAGTTGATTCCGACTCATAGTGACCCTGTTTGGTTTCCAAGGCTGTAAATCTTTACAGAAGTAGATTGCCTCATATTTCTCCTTGAAGAGGCTGGTGGATTTGAACCACCCACCTTCCAGTTAGCAACCAAATGCTTTACCCACAACACCACCAGTTACATATATATAAAATTCTGAGAGGACTAAATTTGACTATTAAATATGTGCCAGCTATGCCCCATACTATGTTAAATGCTCTGCATTCAATCATTAAATCCTCACAACAAATGAAGTAGCTATTTTCTGCATTTTACAGACCAAAAGATGGAGGCCCTAAGGTATATAACTAGCTGAGAATCAAACCGCAGGCAGTTTGAATCCAAAGTCTTTAACCATTATACTATCCTTGATTTCTCAAATAGTGAAGTAGCAGGCCACTAACTCACTATTACCTTGGGCAAGTCACTTCCCTTCTCTGGGATTCCACTGTCTCACGTGTCAAATGGAAATAACAAAGCACACTTCCCTAAATTGTGGTGAGACTACATGAGATTCCATCCCGCACACTGGCCACTCAATAACTATCTATGAAGAACAGTAACACAACTAACTTAAGTGCTTAGTAAATGCTTAACCTAGTGCCATGAACTGTTCTAAGCTCTGCATAGGGGTTATCTCATTCAATACTCACAGCAACTCCATGAAACAGGTAATGTGACTAACCCATTTTACAGATGAGGTGCAGAGGGGTTAAGTAACTTGCAAGACACATATCACCAATGCTTGACAGGTTACAGGTTTGAAACCAAAGACTCTAACTTCAGAACCCATATTCTGAGGTCCCAGAGAAAAGTCAGTGATTTTTCTAACCCCATTCACAAATGAGGAAACTGTGTCCCAGAGTTAGAGTGAGTAAGGGCTGGCACTGGGCAGCTAAACTCTTGGGAGCCCGCGCTCCCAAGAGCGAGTCAAATGAATGGGCAAAGTTAGGCCTGGCCTTAACTGCGGCTTCAGACAGTCCGCGATCCCGCACACCCACTACCCCTACCCGGGGTGTGCCTCGCAGGGACCCGTAGCCCCACGTAGCAGGCCCCCAAGTCCTTTCCCGTGGTTGCGGGCACTCCCGCCGGGTCGCCAGCCCTCAGACCTGCGACCCTTAGAGGCCCAAGCCCATGCCCCTGCCCCGCAGGGGAAGGGGATCCCGCCAGGCTGCCTCCCGGGCGGCGGGCACTAGCCTTCCGCGGGCACCGACCCGCTCCCCAAGGCGTGCGGGCCGCGGGGCCCCGTCATCGAGCCATGCGCAACGCCTCACCCGGCGGCGCCATTCCTCCGAGCAGGTCCCACCAGGGCCTGAGTCGCAGGCTGACTTCCGCTCGGGAAAGTGGCTCCAAGAGCGCGCCGCAGGGGACGCCAAGGACTCGCGGCAGGCTTCGCGCGAAGGGATGGTCTCTAGGCCGAGGTCAGTCCCCGTGGTCCCGCTGAGCCGGCCTGCTTCCAGCAGCCGCGGCCCGGATTCCAGGTCTCGAGCGCAAAGGGCCTTGTGGTCCTCGCGTTTAGGGCCACGGCTCACCCCACGCCCTAGCGCACTTGGAACTGGCCGCCTCGCAACGGTCCTGTTCCGGGCGCTGCCGGGACGCGGTTGGACGAGGCCTCCTGTAGGACCCAAAACGAGTCTTCGGCTGATTGGCTAATCTCACTGGTTGGCCGATCATGCTGTCACTCATTCGTCTCTCTGCAGCCCGGTCAATTTTAAAGGAATGGAAGAAACGAGCAGTGTTTGAAGAGATTTTTTTTTTTTTCTTTTAGAAAATTATGGCAGTTTGACAATTTACTCCAAAGATCATAATTTCAGTTGTTAATAACTGACGTGCGGGTAGAGTTTTATCTGAGTTGTAAAACGTGTGTGGCATACTGGCCCGATTTTACAGACGAAGTAACAAGCTCAAAAATGGAAGTAACTCATGTAAGAACTCGTTAATAACTAACTACAGTTATTGAGCGTTTATAGTATAGCCGGACATAAGCGCTCTACACACGCCTTTTATTTACTCCTTTCACTTTCCGTGAAGTATACCCGTTACTATTGAGTTAATTCCACACACGGCGGCTCGAGTCGTCCTTCCTAGGTATGGCGGCTCCAGTCGTCCTTCGTAGGTATGGCTGGTGGGTTTGAACCGCCAGCCTTCTGGTTAGCAGTCAAATGCCTTAGGCACTAGGCCACCAGAGCTCCTTGTTTTAAACATAAAGAAAGTTAAAAGATTTGAATCCAGGTAGTCTGGGGAGGGGTCGCTATGAGTTGGATTGACTCGACGGCAGTGATTTTGTGTTTGGTTTAATCTGATTTAAGAATCTGTGCTTTTAACTATTCAAACCCAAGCCAAAACCACTGCTGTAGAGTCCTATCCGACTCATAGCGACCCCTCCTTGGGTTTCTGAGGCGGTATCACTACGGAAGTAGATTGCCCAACCTTCCTTCTGTGGAGTGGCTGGTGGGTTTGAACCGCCAGCCTTCTGGTTAGCAGTCAAATGCCTCAGGCACTATGCTACCAACCGTAAAACAAAAAAGTATGTGCAATGTAGTAACACTTGTTATTATTATTATTATCCTAAACAGAGGTGGGTTCTTTTTATGTCTGTTGTTGTTCTTTGCCATTGAGTTGAACTCGACTCATAGTGACCCCTCCATGGGTTTCCTGAGCAGTATCACTACAGAAGTAGATTGCCCCATGTTCCTTCTGAGGAGTGGCTGGTGGGTTTGAACCGCCAGCCTTCTGGTTAGCAGTCAAGTGCCTTAGCCACTATGCTACCAGATATCTAGAACTGCTCTATTCAACATGGCAACCACTAATCATGTTTCAGTATTTAAATTTGAATTTGAATTAAAGTTAAATAAAAACTTCAGCTCCTCACTTGTACTAGCCATATTTCAGGTGTTCATGTGGCTGGCTCTTATGTGCCATCAAGTCGGACCCGACTCATAGCGACCCCTCTTTGGGTTTCCGAGGCAGTATCACTAAGGAAGTAGATTGCCCTCTCTCCCTTTCCAGGAGTGGCTGGTGGGTTTCTGGTTAGTGGTCAAATGCCTTAGGCACTAAGCTACCAGAGCTCCCTAGTGGATAGAATTATAGAGCATTTGCATTATAACAGAAAGTTATATTGAACAGTCCTAATCTAGAATTTGTAAAGAATTCTTACAATTCAATAATAAAATGGCAAAAACCCTGTGTGCTAGAGCTGGCTCATACTCTTGTAAGAGTCAGTTGCTAAATTTTCAGGAATTTTACAAGTCAGTTGCTAAATACAACTTGTCTTAGTTTCCTGGGGCTGCTGTAACAAAATAACAGAGGAGGTGGCTTTGAAGAATAGAAACTCATTTTCTACTAGTTCTGGTGGGTAGAGGTCAGAATTCAGAGCTTCTGCCATCTTGATTCCTAATGAGGACTTTCAGAGAGGAACCGTTCCATGCTTCTCAAATGTAAATGCAACATTCTACAGGACAGAGCATACATTAGGCCATAAAACAATTCTCAGTACCTTGAAATCATGCAAAGTATCTTCTCTGATCAGAATGAAGCTAGAAATCAGTAACAGAGGAAAACTGGAAAAGTCACAAATACATGGAAATTAAATAGTAGTAAAATTTAAACCATAAATGTATTAGAAGAAAACACAGAATTGAATCTTTTTTTTTTTTATTGTGCTTTGGGTGCAAATTTATAGAACAGAATTTGTTTTGCATTTCAACAATTCGTTTGGTTTCACTTCCCAATTACCATCCCCAACCATAATCCACTCTCCTCTCTCCCTTGCCAGTGACCCTCCCCCGCAATCTCTGTGCCCTTTTTACTTAAGCACTCCTGTCTGTCCAGCTTTTCCTCCATGTGAATGTTGCCCCTCTGGTGCACCATGGTTGATTGCTCCAGGGGATGTATCTCTGTAGAGTAGGTGGGTGCATTGCTCTGGGTTGGGTGTTCTGCATGTAAGTCTTACTACTGTTGGGCTGAGAGCCAGCTCTTGGGAGTGAGTTTTATCCCAGGCCCGAAGTGTATCCCAGGGCCGTAGTCTTGGGAGCCCCACCAGACTCCTTCTGACCAGTAATTCTGGTCATTATTGTGTTTGAATTCTGTTCCACGTTTTTCCTCCCACTCTATCCAGGACCTCCAGTTTTGATCCTAGAAGTGAATCTTTATGTCTTTAGATTTGATGACAGATTCTTAGATTTAACACCAAAAGCATGAGCAACAACAACAAAATACATAAATTGGATTCATAAAAATTAAAAAAATTATACATTATCAAGTAAAAGGACAACCTACAGAATGGGAGAAAATATTTGCAAATCATATACCTGATAAGGGTTTAGTCTTCAGAATATATAAAGAATTCTTACAAGTCAACAAAAAGACAATCCAATTAAAAAGTGAGCAAAGGATTTACATACAGATTTCTCTAAAGAAGATACAAATGGTCACCAAGCACATGAAAAGTAGAAGTTCAACATAATAGGTCATTGTGATAGTTAAGGTTGTGTGTCAATTTGGCTGGACCATGTTAAGTAGGTTAGGCAGTTAGGACCTAGTCATCCCCCATGATGAGATCTGATACAATGTAATCACCTCCATGACATGATGTGCTGTGAGCAGCCAATCAGTTGAAAGGAAGTTTCCTCAGGGGTGTGCCCTGCTTCCAATATATGGATGTCCTGGGAAAATTCTCTGGCTTTCTGTTGAATCTTGATCCTGCATTTGGCTCATCATCATCCCCAATTCCTGGACTTGAACCAGTGACCTGCTGTATTGCCTATCTTGGGATTGTTGCCTTCACACCCTGTGAGCCAACAATATGTCATTTTACCTGCCAGTCTTAGATTAATCAGCCTCTGAAGCCAGCAGCCCGATATACTGCCTGTCAGTCTTGGGTTCATCAGCCCCTGCAGCTGCATGAGTCAGGAGAAACCTCCAGCTTGACCAACAGACTTATGATTTGCCAGCCTTTATAACTGCATGGGGAGCTCTGGTAGCATAGTGGCTAAAAGCTTGACTGCTAACCAGAAGGCTGGTGGTTCAAACCCACCAACCACTCCTCGGAAGGAAGGTTGGGCAATCCTACTTCCGTAGTGATACTGCCTTGGAAACCCAAGGAGGGGTCGCTATGAGTCGGGCCGACTCGACGGCACATAACAACAACAACAACAATAACTGCATGGGCCATTTCCTTGAGATAATTTTCTCCCTCTCTCTCTCTCTCTCCCCGCATCTCCCTCTCCTTCTCTCCCTCCCCCTCTCTTTCTCTATATATGGCAATGAGTTTGGTTTGATATATGGTTTTGCTTCTCTAAAGAACTCAGCCTAAGATAGGCATTAAGGAAATGCAAATTAAAACCATAATAAGACATTACTTAACACCCATTAAGCCCAAACCAACTGCCATCGAGTCCATTCTGACTCATGTGTACCCCCATTAGGTTTCCAAGGTGGTAAATCTTTACGGAAGTAGATTGTCCTGTCTTCCTTTGGCGGAGCAAGCTGGTGAGTTTGGAACCACCAGCCTTCTGGTTATTAGTCAGATGCCTTAGGCACTGCACTACCAGAGCTCTTTTAACACCCAGTAGTATGGCTGTAATCATAAAAACAGAAAATAACAAGTGTTGAGTATATAGAGAAACAGGGACTCTCATACATTGCTGGTGGAAATATAAAATGGTACAGCCACTGTGGAAAAAAATTTGGTGACTCCTCAAAAAATTAAACATAGAATTACCGTATGGTCCAGCATTTCCTCTCCTAAGTGTATGCAAAAGAGAAAATGAAACATATATCCACAGAGAAATTGTATGTGAACATGCAATTCCTAATATTCATAATAGCCAAAAGGTGGAAACAACCCAAGTGGAAAAATAGATAAATAAACTGTTGTGTTTATATACACTGGAGTATTATTCAGGCATAAAAAGGAATGAAGTAGTGATACATGCTACAACATAAATGAACCTTGAAAACATTATGCTTTGTAAAAGAAACCAATCACAAAAGGCTAGATAGTGTATGATTCCCTTTATATGATCCATAGACACAGAAAGCAGAGCAGTGGTTGCCACAGGAGAAGGGAGCAAGAAATGGGGAGTGACTAATTAATGGATATGAGGTATTCTAGGTTGGGGAAAAAGTTGTGAAACTATTGTGAGATGGTAGTTTGCCCAGTGTTGTAAATTCTGTAGATACCACTGAGTCGGTTTTGGTGGTATAGTGGTGAGCATAATAGCCTTCCAAGCAGTTGAGTTGACTCAGGTTCAATTCCCAGCCAACACAACCTTTCAATTAGGAGCTCTGGTGGTGTAGTGCCTAAGGTATTTGACTGTTAACCAGAAGGCTAGTGCTTCAAACCCACCAGCCACTCCTCGGAAGGAAGGTTGGGCAATCTACTTCCGTAGTGATACTG